CAACTGTAAGGCCTCATACAACCAGTTCGGAGAGTGTTACCGAAATCCATACTACAGAGAATGTGTCTCCAACTATTAGCCATTCTACACACTTTTCAACAGAAGAAACTCAAGTCTCAAAATCAGCATATTCACCATCCATGTCCACGACTGAAGGAGAGACTTCCATTGCTTCAGGCTCAACTGCAAAGCCTAATACTTCTAGTTCGGAGAGTGTTACTCAAATCCATACTACAGAGCAGGTGTCTCCAAATATCAGGCATTCTACACACTTGTCAACAGAAGCATCTGATGTCTCAAAGTCAACAAATTCACCTTCCAAGTCAACCACTGAGGGCCAGATTTCAGTTGCTTCAAGCTCACCTCACACATCTCGTGCAACCAGTTCGGAGAGTATTACCCAAATCTATACTACAGAGCAGGTGTCTCCAAATATAAGACATTCTACACACTTTTCAACAGAAGCATCTGATGTCTCAAAATCAACATATTCACCTTCTACGACAACAACTGAAGAAGAGACTTCAATCGCTTCAAGCTCAACTATAAGGCCTCATGCAACCAGTTCGGAGAGAGTTACTCAAATAAAAACTACGGAGTATGTTTCTCAAGTGTCATCACATCCTTTACATAGTACCGTTATCCATTTCACAGAAGGATCTTCATCAATAAAACCGTCAGAACCTTTTTTTACAACAAGAACTCAGCCTTCCTCATTCCGAACAGAAACTCCATCTTTTTCTAGACTGACTGCATTTCCCTCTGTTACTCATTCATCACATCTTGTCAGCACTACAGAATCCAGAGCCTCACATCGCCCCACCCAAAACACACCAGAGGCGTCATCCCGCCCTGTAACCCAGTCTAGTTCCACACATGCAGCCCCTACCAGGACAAATACAGCATTCGCCAATACAACAACACAACGATGCGATGAAGCTGACTGCAACTGCAATGGGGCTCCTTGTGCACTCAACGAGACATCTGGAAAATGTCAGTGTAACTGTTTTAAATTCACCATAGGAGAAAACTGCTTAAGTGGCGAGAATTACACTTCAGCTATTATTGGTAAGATTTTTGTTCTTTCAAATTTTATTTGGTAGGGAGCCTTATGTATAATCTTAATTGAAACTTGATTATTCCGAATAGTAATATTAACAGTAATTTGTATATCTATATTCACATAAGAATCAATTTCATAAAGGGATGTAATGTAGTAATAAATTGCTAGAAATTTTTATAATAAGCATGTGTTCCGAAAAGTTAGTATTTTTGGCAAACTACAGGAAACCTTTCCAAACGAGATGTTAATGTCCAAAATTTCTTTATGTCTGTTTCACAGATAAAAAGGATGTACCAACCAGAAAAGTGAACATCTCTCTAAGAATAATAAAGGAATTTGAAAAGGAATTGGAAAATATATCTTCATTGCTGTACAAGCACTTTTATGATATTATACATCCTCAGGTATGAGTCACAAAGAGAAAGCTCAGCTTCCCAATTAATTACACAACCTTTGGCTCTTCAGGGAAAAGGTCAGCTGCTTTGTAACTTACTGTATGTGTCCACTCTTTCACCTTATCTCTACTTGAGGCCCACATTGACAGATGGCATTGATTTCTCATCCTCGTAGGCAATTTACCTGCACTTCAGTCCTTTTGTGTTTCAAAAATACATTTATTTCCCTTATTCCATGAAGCCTACTATCACTGTTGAGTCATGAAACACAGTCAGATGGCCAAGGCAGAAGGACAGTGTAATGAAATGAAGCATCTGTAGTAGCACTTCAAGTCTCAGTTGTCCTCTCCTTAGCACCATGAAACCAAGAAGTAGAGAGTGCTTTATCAATACCCATATTTTAATCATGTAATTTTCTAATTTATATAACATTCTTCTTGAATTTTCATGAGTATTCAAGCAACAGATGTCCCCTAAAAACTTTCTTTGCAGCCTAAAACAGAGATGCTCAAAGTCTGCACTAATTATGCGTATGGTGTTTTACGATATCCATGACCCACAGAACAGAAACGTCATTCGAGAAGTTAGTGAACCTGCCAGCACTACATGTGAATGAGAAACACGTATCATCTTGCAAGCACATGCACATGAATGATGTCAAGGATGTAAGCTGCATCCAGCTGCAAGACACCACAGTAATTAATGTTTTATTAACTGCAGAAAAACAGCATGCACTTTGTGGATAAACTTTTAACTTGTATTACTTTTTCTTTTGTAGTTAGAGGCGATGTGTAAACATGCTGATAAAAACTATTTCAAAGAAGTTAATATCACTGGTTTCAGGTAAGCAAATTCTGTAAAAATTTGTTGCTCATAATTTTGGATTTAGGATTAGATTTCTGGTGTAATTAACAAAAATAACACCTCCCGAAGAAATCTTATATTTATTATTAACATCAGAACTCATGTTGCACGTTGATAACATAATTTGATCCAAAAACTATTACAACTTTAATATCAATGTGGGTTTTAAGGATTAAATGTTTTATTGTTATGTACAGTAAAAATACATTGAAAAACGTTATCTTCTTTCTCTTTTCAGGAATGGGAGCATTATTGTAGAAAGTGTTGCACAATATATCTATCCCAACAACGCAACTCAGATTGCCTTCCTTAATAAAGGGCTGGAAAACACTTTGGAAACAATTTTCAAGAACACTACCAATTACCAGAACATTAATAATGCACTTCATGCAAACACAACACTGTACAAACTTGACCTGCAACCAACAAGTATAAAAAGTAAGTATAAGTTTAAAATTCTACTATACATAATTTCACAGATATTGAATGCATGCTTTATTTTAAAAAAATATATATAATTTTAACAATATTTTAATTGGGGGGAGCACTCATTTGTAACTATAACACAACAGAAACTGGCATGAAATCTAGCCTGATGAGTCTCTAGGCTCAAGCATGGATTTTACTAGCATATACTCATCATGTACCAAAAAGAACTGGATTAATCAGAACTGATACTGAACTTATTACAGCAATCCTGACAGCGAGTCATTGTCTGCTATTCTTTTTTTTATTTTCCCTCTAGATATCAGTGATCTGAAGCCCTATGTAAAAAACTGTTCCCTAAATTACATTGGATACACAGTAGAAGTTGTTGGTGAAAGTTTGCAGTGTGTGGGAACGTGTGCCACAAATACAGATTACTGTAATGGGCACGGGGCATGCTCTAACCTAAAAAATGGACCATCCTGCAGGTAAAAACATATGTCATATTCTGCAAAGTGACCTACTTGATATCTGTAGATCTGCAGGTCACAACAAGCTAGACTTTACAAATGAATTAAACCAGTTTCATCATGGAACATTCAAATTAGCACTTAAATGATCATGTATATCACTATTTCTAATGTCACACCCATGTAACTCTTTAGAAGGCTGATTTTAAGCATGAATGTACATTTGCATATAATTTGATATCTTTGTTCAATGAGCTGATGTTTGACTGCAGATTTTCAAAAGAGAGACGGTTCTTCTGAGACCACAGCAGTGATTGAGCAAAAGCACAAGCAATGAGGAACTTAAACCCATATTCTCTTCTCCTGATGGGTCCACTGTTTGTATGACTGGCCACTCTCAGCTTTGCTCACCATTTTTGTCTGGGTCCCGCACAGTTGCTTCGCGTCCGACTTCGTCCAGTACTCCGGCGAGCGGTGCCAGCTCTTCGAGAGGAGCGCGGGGTTCTACGCTGTCCTCTTCGGGGTGCTGGGAGCCACCCTGCTCCTTCTCATCATCCTCATCATCGCAGTCATCGTGCTGAGGAAGAAACAGAACTCAGGATCGTGGTGAGCTGACCTGTCCCAACCGCAGCCTCCCAGAAACCAATAAGGGTCCACATGGGAAAACCAGGGCAGCACAGTGGAACAGTGGTCAGCACTGCTTCATCACAGCACTGGGGCCCTGGGTTCGGCTCCAGACCTGGGCTGCTATCTGCATGTGTTCTCCCTGTATTTGCGTGGGTGGTCTTCAGGTGCTCTGGTTTCCTCCCACAGTCCATAGATGTGCTGGTACTGTAGGTTAACTGGCTTCTAGGGAAACTGGCCATGGTGTTAGTGAGCGCATGTCTGTGTGTGACTAGCATCCGAACCAGGGTGTAGCCCTCCTTGCGCTCATTGCTTGCTGGGATAGGGTCTGGCTACCCTATCCTTCGCGACCCTGTATTGCATAAACCATCTGGAAAATGGACGGGTGGCAAAACCATCTGATTTGAGGAACTTTGGACAAGATGTAGTAGGAACAGTATGAAATCAGGAAAGACCTGAATCAGTCTCAATAGACAGTCTCATGTATAGGACATAAATTACAATCGAATAAAGGAGAAACAGCAAAGTGACTAGTGTTACACTGATGATAGTGACTGTTTACTGTATTCAACGATACTAATATAAAAATATACAAACACAAAGAATACAAATAGAGCAATAATAGATCAGATCGAGAAATCTTTTGTTTTCCAATTTCAGGACTAGCAACCAACAATCAAGAAAGTGGTTTTCACTGGATGAGGAATACTTTAATTTTTCTCACACAGGTAGGTTGTGACACGTTAACATTTCTGCCCTTTGGTTTTACCTGTAACTTGCGTATTTGCATGAACAATTTCGGGAAAGTGACATAACCACAAACAAGGACGTTTTGTTTTTGAAAAGGAGCCACTCGTGCCTCTTACTCCTCGGGATAAACTCTCAGAGAGTGGGTGCAGTCTACTTCCTGTCCCCCCCCACCCCACCCACCCTGTCGTCCCAATGTCATTCGATTATTCAGCTATAGAAGTGCTGCCACTTACAGTATCTCTAATGTGCTCATCTGCTACACAAACATTGTGTTAATCTCAGAGGTAACAGTGGCGAGGTAGTTAGTGTTCCTGCATCAGAGCTCCAGGATCCTGGATTTGTTTCCAGCCTCTGGCATTTTCCCAATTTACCCCCAGAACGCACCAGATCACACCAGTTCTCCCACCTCCCAAAGACACATGGGGCTGCTGTGCTTGGCTACTGTATAGGGCTCATCCCTGGGGCTCCTCACAAGGAAGGAAACTGAACACCTCAGCTCATTACCCCGTCCTGTTAAGAGTGACCCTGGTGCCACTCTGCTTCTGCCTCTGGAGTCGAGCATTTGTTGCTGGAATTCATTAATACTAAAATTAATTTTCAGATCTTAGTGGCAGGAGCTCAAGTCCTGAAGGATTAATGGGGAGAACAGGAGCATACAACCTTGAAGACAACCTCACTTACGCCAACGAATTCACTCCAGGGGTTTTCCGGCCTCGGCTGGAAAACGTTGACACTTCACTACAAGTATGTATCCTGTCCTCTAACAGAGCTCTAGCAAAAATATTTAAATCCGTACTGTAAAAATAAAGACCAGCTGTGCATCAGGTGCTATTAATTTCTCTATGCTCATGGACACTCCTGTAATTAACCAATGAATACACCATCATTGCTCATTGCTTTAAATGCATCTCATCTGTCTGTATTTTACTCATGATCTGATTTACCTGTTTGATAAACACATTCTGATTTACAAACACAATAGTAACTTTGTTATTTCATGATCACGTCATCCACAAAAATTAATCTGCAAATATAACATTTTCTGGCTGAAAATAAAATTCGCTATCCCAACTATGGTGTATATTGCACAATGAGTCTTAGTATATTTTGTTTTGCACTGTCAGATCTAAGCCCCCATTTCCTTCAGTTAAAGACACATGCAGATAGTTATTTACCAAGTGCCACACAATACAAAGGGTGTTTGCTCTGATATTGCAAACAACTTTGATTCAATATTACACTCCTACACAAACATTACAAATACATGCACGTGTGAAAAAAAATGAAAAGATGCATTCATAAGCAGCTTCAAAACCTCATAAATGAAGGGATTTAATTCGTTTTTATACTGCAGCCATAGGGGCATCTATACCACTGCTAAATTATACATTTAAATTCACAGATTAACGCAGTAGAAAAGTGTGATTACACTTTCATGTGCTTTTCTTGTTTAGACAAAGGAAATTTAAGAATAGAATGTGTTTGTTGAAGATGACTTTCGTCAAATTAATTAAAATCCAATACATTTCAAATGCATTTATCTTTAATATTCATTAAAGACACCTACAGTGGCACTTACTTAGCATATCTAAAATGTTTTTTCCAGGTAAAGACAAAACGACCAGAAATATTGATGCCAACCAGTGACCAGGACACCAGTAACAACTGAGCTCAGTCCCCTGTGTGCCAGCTTGCAAATGTATTTATTTCTGCAAAAGGATTTGTTTTAGTTTTTTTATGTAATTATCAGTCTGTCTTACATCTGACATGTAACCATTAC